ATTATTATTATTGCTGTATGTGTGTGTCTGGTGCTGGGTTTTGAACTCAGAATTTGTTTCTACTACCACTGATTTACATCCCATGCCTTAAAAATAGGTGTTAGTATCATCTGAAAAACGATATAGGATCTACTTCATAGGCTTCAATAACATTTGAGAATTATTTGTAAATGGCAAAAGACACAAATAAGAAATAATAAAATGTTGAAATTATGAAAACATAGTAGAATATGGGCTTTTTTGAATAGGACTTGAGGTCACCTCAGATAAACTGTTATCTGGATCTATTTTCTATTCTGTAAAATAGGAATAATGACTCCTATCTTGCTGCGTTATCAAGAGTGAGATAGAAATTTAGGGAGAGTTCACTGAGTCTCCAAAGGAAAAAATATCCCTGTAAAATTATAGAATGAATAGACAACTCGTGAACTGGACAAAGGTATCTAAGGGACAGAAAGCCCATAAATTACTCTGTAACTTTCCAGTTCCCTATATAAGTCTTCTGGAATATCACAAAATGGGAACAAGACTTTAGTAGTGGACCATTAGCCTTGTGAGGCTAGGGTTTAACTACTGGACCATGACCCTCTCTCTGATCACCCAATGGGCCACCCACCTCTACATACTTGGATATAAGCTGAAACCTATATCCCAGACAAGATCCCCTAATGGGGAAACAGGATCTTGCTCAATATTTCCAAACCAGGAGAGAAGCCCAATCCCTTTGGAGCACACATTTCCCACCTAATTATTTTAAAAACCTAACCTTGGGCTGGGGTTGTGGCTCAGTGGTAGAGTGCTTGCCTAGCATGCATGAGGCACTGAGTTTGACTCCCAGCACCACATTAAAAAAAACTAAATAAACAAAATAAAGGTATTGTGTCCACCTAAAATAAAAGTGTTAAAAGAAAAACAAACCTAAACTTAAGCTCTGGCATCATCTCTCACTCTTGAGATTGAACACTCTCTCACCCTCCTGTGTCCTTTCTAAAAACCTCTTCCTCTCTTTTTAAAAATCTTATTCTTATCAGGTTTGGTGCCATATGCACCAAATAGAGCCAGGCATGATGGTGCAGGCCTGTAATTCCAGTGACTCATGAGGCTAAAGCAGGAGGATTGTGTTGAGGCCAGCTTCAGCCATTTTTCAAGACTCTCATAAACTTAGCAAGATCATATCTAAAAAAAAAAAAAAGGACTGGATTGGGGTTGTAATCAGTGGTAAATCCCCCTTCATTCTAGTCTAGTATCAAAAATAAATAAATAAATAAAACCTGACTTGGCCTTAAATTTTTAAATATTTTGCAATGGAGACAAGAGCCTAGAAGGTCCAAGTACAGGTCTCTTCATATCCTCTTCATATCTCTTCTCTTCATTCCTCCTCAGACATCAACACAGTGACAAAGAGGATTGGTGATTCTACATGTCAAAATCCTTGCAGGACCCAGGACCTGTGGCATATGCTTGTAATCCCAGTATTGGAAGGATGAGGCAGGAGAATCACAAATTTGAGATCAGCCTGTGCAGTTTATCAAGATCCTGTTTAAAAATTTAAAAATCAAAAGAGCTGGGGATGTAACTCAGTGGTAGAGCACCCTCGGGTTCAATCCCCAGTAAATGATAGACCCAACCTGATCTTTTCTTAAAATTGGGCATCTCGACACAAAACCATGAAAAGATAATTTCGGCTTTACTATAAATTACTGTAAATTCTGAACCTGCTTGGAATGCCTGCCCGTGCGTTGAATCACCCATGCTTGGCTCTCTGACCAGATAGCAGCCCTCTCTGAAACTTAGTGACACCTCATAAATATTGGCCTTCCCTGGCCAGACAACGACCCTCTCTGAGGCTCTAATGGTCCTCATAAATTCTGATGTTGGGGCCAGCAAAAAAAATGTAAACTACCATTAGTGTGATGCTTGTCAAAGTCCTGTTATCTGTAACCCCCCTTTTGTGTAACTTTCTGGGCTATAAAGCTGGGCTGTAGGAAAGGTGGGGTGGCTGTCTTGTTCCCGCCGTTTTGGGAGGGAAAGGCAGCCCGGCCGGTTGAAACAATAAGCTTGCTTTAATTTGATTTTAATTGGAGTCAGTGGTCTTTTCTTGCGTCCTGGTCTAACATAAAGTAGGAAAGGAAAAAAAAATTAGGGAGTAAGAGCTCAAGAATAGTTTACCCATAGCCAGTATTTACTATATGTTAAAAAATTGTCCTAAATATATTACACGGATTATCTTATTCAATTCTTATCCAACTGAATAACAGGAATTATTATCATGATCCTTATTTTATCAAGGAATGACCTGAATCCAGATAGGATGGCTCTGAATTCATGTTCTTGAGTTCTATCCTCTACTGTTTCTCAATTAAAAAAAAAAGAATTTACATTCATATACTGTATTTTATTTATGTTATACAGCAATAAAATTGGTTTTATAATCTTTTTAAAAAAATTTATAGTTGCAGATAGACAGAATGCCTTTATTTTATTTGTTTATCTTTATATGGTACTAAGGATCAAAACCAGTGCCTCACACATGCTAGGCAAGTACTCTGCCACTGAGCACTACAGCCCCAGCCCATGGCTTTACAGTCTTTAATATTGTATTAATCAGAACCAGGCATGGTGGCACATGACTGAAATTTTAGCAACTGGGAAAGCTGAGGCAGGAGCATCACTAGTTCCACACCATACTCAGCAACTTAGTGAGACCTTGTACCAAAATAAAACATTTTTTAAAAAATATTTATTTTTTAGTTATAGTTGAACACAACATCTTTATTTTATTTATTTATGTTTATGTGGCGCTGAGGATGGAACCCAGAGCCTCACATGTTCGAGGCAAGCACTCTACCCCTGAGCCACAACCCCAGCCCCCAAAATAAAACATTAAAAAAAAAAAAAACGACTGGAGATGTAGCTCAGTGGTAAAAGGCCCCTGGGTTCAATCCCCAGTGGTTCCCCACCTCCACCTGGCAAAATAAGTATTAATCTACAACTATAACTCTTCTAAAATCACTTCTAAATCTCACCCAATGAGCCAGGCACGATGGTGCATGACTGTACTCCCAGCAACTCAGGAAGCTGAGGCAGAAGGACCACAAGTTTGAGGCCAGCCTCAGTAATTTAGAGAGACCCCAAGCAACTCAGTGAGATCCTGTCTCTAAATAAAATATATAAAAGGTCTTGGAGCGAGGCTCAGTGGTTAAGTGTCCTGGATTCAATCCCCAGGACCAAAAATAATTTAATAAATGTAAGTAAATAACACCAAAAGAATGACAAAAATGGTTCAAAAAGTTCCCAAGAGAGTAGGTAAAAAAGTGCTGTCAGGCACACTGGTACACACCGGTAATTTCAGTGACTCCAGAGTAAGAGATAGGAAGACTGAAAGTTGAAGGCCAGCCTCAGCAATTAGTGAGGGTCTTAGCAATTTAGCAAAACACTAATTCAAAATAAAAAGGGAATGTAGCTCAGTGGTAAAACACTCCTGGGTTCAACTCCTAGTACAAAAAAATTTTTTTTTATATTGTTATGAAAAGTCTTCCAGGTTTTTTTAAAGCAAATTGCAAATCTTCATGTATTTTATTATTATTATTATTATTATTATTATTATTATTATTATTATTTTCAGTGCTGGGATTAGAATCTCAGGGCTTTTGACATGCTCACTCCTGGTCTTCTTTGTAATATTTGAGAACACCAGGCTTTGGAATCAGATCAGGATCATAGACTAGACTCTTTTTTTTTTTTTTAATTTTTTTTTGAAAGAGAGAGAGAGAGAGAGAGAGAGAGAGAGAGAGAGAGAGAGAGAGAGAATTTTTAGTTCTCAGCGGACACAACATCTTTCTTTGTATGTGGTGCTGAGCGCGCTACCACTTGAGCCACATCCCCAGCCCTAGACTAGACTCTTTACTGGGCTTGTTTTCTTTTCTTTATGGCACTGGGCATTATGTCACTGAGGTACATCCCCAGCCTTTTATAATAAGAACAGGATCTTGATAAATTGCTGAGGCTGGTTTTTGAATTTGCTATCCTTCTGCCTAAGCCTCCCTAGTCAGTCCCTAGTGCCTGGGTGCCACCTCGCCCAGCCCTTGCTTTCTTATCTGTAAACTTGAGATGATACGAATATCATAGTGTTGTTTTCAATTATTTATTTAAATTAGGTTATTATTATTTTGAGGTACTGGGGATTGAACCTAGGGGCCCTTTGCCACTGAGCTATATCTCCAGCCCTTCTAATTTAAAAATTTTGAGGGATATATATATATATATATATATATATATATATATATATATATATCAGCTAAATTAAAATATTTTCTTGAAACAGTCTCGATTTAGAGAGATTAAGTTGCTGAGGCTGGCCTCAAATTTGCTATCCTTCTGCCTCAGCCTCTGGGGTAGCTACTAGTACAGGCTTGTGCCACCGTTCCTGGTTCTTACAGCTGTTTTTTGAGTTAAACCAGATTATGCTTGTAAAAGTACAGAACCTGTCACCAAGTAATCCATCATGGAATGTTACCTTTCTCCCGGCTGGGGTACAATGAAGGGAGATAAAAAGGAAGAATTCTCCGTAAAGCGAGAGATACATCCTCTTACAGTGCTTCGAGGAAACCATTCATCCTTCTTAGACCACAAACATCACTTTTATCCCATGGCACAGAATCTGCCCAGAAACTACACACTATTTGCCAGCCAATCACATCACCCCGAAGGAATATAGTATTGTCCCTTCTCAATCCTTTCTTGCCCTTACTTTCATCCCCAGCTTTCCAGTCTACCCAGGTGAGGGCTCTCTCCCTGCCCTTACTGCTCTAGTTTTCTGGCCTCAGTAGCTTTTGGCCAAATGAGAACGTAATTGTTTCTTTTTTCCCCCTTCCTGCTCACCGTGATGGTAAAAGAAAGATTTCTGATTGGTTGTTCCGGAGTAAGAACTAGCCAATGACAGCCACTCTTTTTCGGAGCAAGGGAAGCAAGTATTATTGCTGATGATTGGTCGAAGTAGCCCGAGTCAGGAAAATGGCTGCGAGTACCTCTGTAGTCCCGGTGGCGGTGACGGCGACGGCGACGGTGATGCCCGGCCTATCCACTAACGCAGATTTCTCAGATTTGCGGGAAATTAAAAAGCAGCTGCTGCTCATTGCGGGCCTTACTCGAGAGCGGGGCCTGCTGCACAGTAGCAAATGGTGAGATGTCGGGGTCGGAGGGGACCAAGCTTGGATCCTTGGCCTTGGGGGCTTCTCAAGCTGATCCAGTTTGTGTGCGTGTTCCAGGTCCGCGGAGTTGGCCTTCTCCCTCCCCGCGTTGCCTTTGGCCGAGCTGCAGCCGCCGCCGCCTATTACAGAGGTAAGAGCATTTTCACAGTGAGCGATCCTCGCCAAAGCAATGTGCTTGAAGAGGCACATTGAATGCCCTGTCCCTGGAGAGGAGCTAACCGTTTAGCAGCAGTGTTTGCTAGAGGGAATACAAGCGTTTAAAGAGCTGGGTGGTATAAGTGGTTTTTATCCGTAGTGTTTTCTTGTTTCGTTTGGTTTTGGTTTTGATGGTGCTCTTACTTTAAGCCAGAGAGACCACGTACACAATCATTGCTTAAGATTTCAGCTTTTGGGGTTTTGTGGCCCAACCTAGAAAATACTCAAAGATGAGAAAAAGCAAAAGTTTTCGCAACAGCTTGGGACTATTCTTGCTCTATTGTTTGATCCGCATTGCAAAATGTGTGTGGGCTCTGGGTTCAAATCTAAAACTAATGACTTTTGGCAATTTACTTAACCTCCTGAGCCCAGTTCTTTTATCTGAAAATGAGAATAATAATGACCACTTTGGGAGGGGACAATTTAGGGAATTAGATAATATCAGGCACTGAGTAAATACCGGACTCAGTAAAATCAGGTATTCTCAACATTCCCATTCATAAGAGAGAGGTGGCTTGGTAGGGTAAATATTTTGCATCTATATTCCAGTCATGTTCTTTGCTCCTATCATCATTGTGGGCAAGTAAATGCTAAGTGACAGCCTTCCATCTATAGATAATATTAACAATAGTTGGGTTTTCAAGATTAATTAAGACAATAGAGGTACAATTTTTATTTTTATTTTTTAGAATTAAAGGTAAAACTCACTCTTGTATGATTGTTTTGAGTCCGTGTGATTTATATCTCTTATTAGCTTTTACTTCCCTGTGACTATTGTCACAGTGCCTAGGCACATTGATGGTCCTGAATAGAATAAAAATTGCTGAATGAGTAATAAAGCACAATGCCAGGTGAAACATAGAGCCTCAGAAAATAGTCCTTGCTCCTAACAGTTCATATAACACAGGAATTTTATAGACATTTCAGAAACCTAACCATTATTGAATTATTAGAAAGTAATAGCTATTGGTGCTGGGTATTGCATGCCTGTAATCCCAGAGGCTGGGGAGGCTGAGGCAGGAGGATCACAAGTTCCAGGCCAGCTTCTGCATTTTAGTGAGGCCCTTCTCAAAATAAAAGGGTTGGAGCTGTGACTTAGAGGTAAAGTTCAGTCTCCAGAAGCAGGAGTAAGGGTGTGGGGGGTGATATTAGCTATTGGTTAGTTTCAGCTTTCTTTGAGTATATTGATTTAGCAGCTTCTTTTTTAAATTGTTGGGCATTTAGTGTTCTCTGGGGAGTGTCCCTAAAAAATGCCAGAGAAACATATTAATCTCATTTAGCCTTGATCCAAAATTTAAACTAGAGTAAACCTTAAAACATTGGTCTTCAAAGAATTACTGAAATTGAAGATTCTTTTGCTGTGTTCAAATCTGTGTAGTAGCCATCTGTTATATAAACATTCTGCCAGGTATGATGGTGCACCCTGTAATTGCAGCAGCTCAGGAGGCTAAGGCAGGAGGATCGAAAATTTGAGGCCAGCCTTTGAGACCCTGTCTCAAAATTAAAAAATGAAGAGGGCTGGGATGTGCCCTTGGGTTCAATCCCTGGTACTAAAAACAAAACAAAACAAAACAAAATGATGTGATTGGTACTAACTGTGGCTACTTAAAAACTCAGCTTTAATGCTAAATACGTCTGAATCACATAGTGTGTAACCTTCATTAGAACATTCTAGGTTCTCATAAGCAAGAATGAAAATATAAAGCTATATAGTTCAAATAGTAAAACTTTGTGGACTTTGGATTTTTTGTTGTTGTTGTTTGTTTGTTTTTTGTTTTTTTTTCGGTTCTAGGGAATGAATCCAGGGGCACTTTACCACAGAGCTATATTCCCATTCCTTTTTAAATTTTTTAAAAATTTGAAACAGGGTCTTGTTAAGTTCCTGAGGGTCTAGCTAAGTTGCTGAGACTGGCCTTAAACTGCTTCTGCCTCCTGAGTTGCTGGGATTACAGGTGTGTGCTACCAGCCCTGGCAAAATAGTAAAACTTTCCGAGTTATAAATGTGTGTGAAGAGTTATAAATGTTTTGTGTATGATCTATAATATGTATGTATGCACAGTGTTGTGTAATTGGAATGATTTTTATCATAATCCATTTTTCCCTGAATATGCCAGTTGATTTTTTTCCCACAACTATAAAACAGTGACTATTTCTCATTTGGCAAGGTGTAATGCACCAGTACTGCAAAAACAGAGAGAGACAGGTGCATAATGAAGGGAGGGGTTCAGTGGAAAAGAAATAAGCAGCTGGTGAGTAGAATGTGAAAGGGACCTTCAGAATCCTAAGATGAATGGCAATATTTAGGACATGTTGATCCAGTGAAGAAAATGCTAAATATGTTGTGATTCTACTTCTGTACTGGTGATATTTGGGTCAAGATGGATAAGAAGAAATGAAGTTTTTCATGTTTTAGTTAACTCATTCCTAGAATTTGGGTGATCATACGTTTTTCTTTTTTTGTTACCTGGGATTAAACCCAGGGGCATTTAAGCACTGAGCACCCCAGCCCTTTTAAATTTTTTTATTTTGAGACAGGGTCTCACTAAATTGCTTAGGGCCTTGCTAAATTATTGAGGCTGGCTTTGAACTTTTCATTCTCCTGCCTCAGCCTCCTGAACCACTGGGATTACAGGTGTGCACCTCTCTACCCAGTATGTTTGTAACTATGTTTTTAACGTAAATGTGTTATGAATTATAACTGTATTTTATTTTTTTTAAATAATTTTTTTAGTTGTGGGTGGACACGATATCTTTATTTATTCATTCATTTATTTATTTTTATGTGGTGCTAAGGATCGAACCCAGTGTCTCACACATTCGAGGTAAACGCTCAACCCCTGAGCTACAACCCCAGCCCCTATAACTGTATTTTATGTTGTCAACAATGCTAACATATGATAAGACTTTGTTGAAATACAGAAAATATAAGTGATCACACATGATATACTTATGTAGGAATTTTAAAAAGATGAGAAGGAAGAGAATGCCACATATGAATGCTGGACATTTTAAGTGACTTTTTCACATTTTCCTCATATCAAATCTGTAAGGTCAATATTACTTATTCTACTTTACAGAAGAAACAGATGTTCAACTAGGTGTGGTGGCACACTCCTATAATCCCAGTGATTAGGAGGCTAGGGCAGGAAAATTCAGGTTTGAAAGCAGACTGGGCCACTTAGTGAGACCCTATCTAAAAATAAAAAATAAAATGAACTGTTGAGACCCTGAGTTGATTTTTAAATTTATAGCTCAATGCTGAAGTGCCCTTGGGTTCAGTTCCCCTCCAACCTCCCCCAAAACTTGCCAAAAAAATAAAAAAGAAAGAAAAGAAAAAGGAAAAATGCATGCTCATGAAACAGAGACCAAGAATCAGAAAATGAATTCAGGTCCTGAACACAAAACCATTTGCAACTTCCTAATGACATTTGAAGAAACAATATAAGTTTCTGAGTATATTGATTTAGTGGTTTGTTTTGTTTTTTTTTTTTTTTTTTGGTACTGAGGATTGATCTCAGGGACACTTTACTACTGAGATACACCCCCAGTCCTTTTTATTTTTTTTATTTTGGGTCAGAGTGTCTCTAAATTGCTGAGGCTGACCTTGAATTTGAAGTATTCTTATCTCAGCTACCCAAGTTGCTGGGATTATAGGCATTGGCACTGCACCCAGCTATGTGTGTTGGTTTAATTTTTAAAATTTTTGTCTTTTGCCAGGTTTTGTGATGCATACCTATAATCCTAGCTACATGGGGCTAAGGCAGTAGGATTGTAGATTCAAGACCAGCCTGGGAAAAGTTAGTGAGACCGTGTCTCAAAGTAAAATAAAAGGAATGGGGTTGTAGCTCAGTGGTAGAGTGCTTGTCTAGCATTTGTGAGGCCCTGGGTTTTATTCTCAGCACCACATATAAAAAATAAATAAATAAATAAATAAAACGAAGGTTTATCAACAACAACAACAACAACAACATAATATTACATTTAAAATAAAATGAAAGACTTGGTATGTAGCCCTAAGGTTCACTGCCCAGAAAACAAAAAACAAAAAGAAAAAAGAATAAAAAGGGCTGGGGATGTAGCTCTGTGGTAGAGTACCCCTACATTCAATACCTAGTTATTTAAAAAAAAATATATGTGTGTGTGTGTGTGTTTGTGTGTGTGTGTCTTTGTCTTTTGCACCACCTTTTTATTTGAAAAGTATTTTGGAAAGAAGTAGTTCTTTCCAAAGAAAGAACTTGCCTGGTAGTACATATATAAAAATGCTGCATGTATACATCTACATATGTGTTAGCTTTCTGGAAATAGAAAAAAAAAAATCACTTTTCTTATATCTTGAAATTACTGAATATGTTTCTTATGTTTGAACTTTTGTTGTCCTATTTTCAGTTATTTACATGGACTTGTCTCTTTTCTAGGAGGATGCCCAGGATATGGATGCTTATACCCTGGCCAAGGCCTACTTTGATGTTAAAGAATATGACCGGGCAGCACATTTCCTACATGGCTGTAATAGCAAGAAAGCCTATTTCCTATATATGTACTCCAGATATTTGGTGAGGGCAATTTTAAGGTGTTACTTTGCTTTCAGTGAAGCATTCATATTTAGAATTAAATAGAAAAATCCCAGCCTGAGTTGATTTTAACAGTGGGGGATGGTGGTGCATGCCTATAATCTTAGTGACTTGAGAGGCTTAGTCAGGAAGATACAAGTTTGAGGCCAGCTTTGGCAACTTTGTGAGACCTTGTCTCAAAATTAAAGGGCTGGAGATGTAGCTCAGTGCTTACGTAAAGTGCCTCTGGGTTTAATTCCCAGTACCAATAAATAAACTATTCAGTTTTCACTTTTATTTGTAGTACATTTGTTGTTTTGTTGCATGGCTGTTAAATTGTAAATGTAAAGGGCAATACAAGTATTTAATTCTGGAATATTATGAATGTATTTTCCTACTTTTTTTTTTTTTTTTTTAGTTATTTTATGTGTGAACAGATCTTTTAAAATATTTTATAAGGCTGGGGGTAGCTCAGTGGTAGAGTGCTTGCTTATAATGTATTTATTCATTTATTTATTTATTTTTATGTGGTGCTGAGGATTGGGTTTGATCCCCAACATTGCAAAAAAAAAATTATATACATTTACAAGTGTAAGCATTTATAATGTAATGTAATCCTTACATTATAGGTGTAAGGATTGAATTTAGGGATGCTTAACCACTGAGCTACATCCCCTGCTCTTTAAAAAAAAAAAAATTTTTTTTTTAAGTATTTATTTTTTAGTTGTAGTTAGACACAATACCTTTATTTCACTTATTTGTTTTTATGTGGTGCTGATAATTGAACCCAGGGTCTCACATGTGTGAGGCGAGCACTCTACAGGATCTTGATAAGTTGTCCAGACTGGCCTCCAATTGCAATCCTCCTGCCTTAGCCTCCCAAGTAGCTGGGTTTATAAGCTTGTAATACTAAGCCTGGCTGGATTCCTATATTTTTAATTATTTATAATTATTTACTGTACTTACTTAACTACTTTGGTACTCAAATTATCCCACATTTAGGCAGTGGGAGCCCCCAAATGATTGTTTGAAATTAATGACCAAAAGCAGATGCCATTTTTGTTGGACTTGAACTCTTGGGTAGTTTTAAAACATGTTTCAGAATAAATTGAAAAAAAACCTACCTACTTGTTGAATTTCTTTTACAGTCTGGAGAGAAAAAGAAGGATGATGAAACTGTTGATAGCCTAGGTATGAATTTTTTTTCTCTTATCTCTTGGATTAAAAAGTAGCTTTGTAAATTTAAGTGCCTGTTGGAGCCAGTCAGGTAATATAACTGGACTGAGATGCATTGTTGCAAATTTCAGAGCACATGGCTTATCTCATGTACCCTGTTGGCACCCAGCTTCAGCTGAGGGCTGCCTTGTGGCACTCTGGGCCTGATGTTATTAGGGCCTTCTTCCTTTGGCCCTTCTCTGTTTCCTGAAGCTAAAAACTCAGATTTTTAATTGAGGCTTCTGATTTTTAGACAATGATAACTAATTCAAATTTAAAAACCCAACAACTATTTGGGTGTAGGACTGCAGACCCATTATTAGTTGCAATTTCTAGAATAAAGTAAATGGATCGTATAAGATATCAATGGACACTTATGAGTATTTGCTGGAGGTTTCAAGTATAACCTTCAGTTGAAACTAAAGGGAATATATACATCTATGAAAATGAAAGCCAGCATCCTTCTCTTAGATCAGAGACTTTGTTTCTTTCCTAGGCCCCCTGGAGAAAGGACAAGTGAAAAATGAGGCTCTTAGAGAATTGAGGGTAGAGCTCAGCAAAAAGCATCAAGCTCGGGAACTTGATGGATTTGGCCTTTATCTGTAAGTGGTTTTTATAGTAATTTGGAACTTTCTATATCTTTTTTTGTGTGTGGGTGAGTGTGGTACAGGGAATTAAACACAGGGCCTCGCATATGCTAGGCAAGTGCTCTACCACTGAGTTACATCCTTGGCTATCTTTTTTATTTTGGGACAAGGTCTAACTAGGTTCCCAAGGCTATCCTCCAACTTGTGATCCTTCTGCTTTAGCCTCCTCAGTAGCTGGAATTATAGACTTATGCCAGTGTACCCAGTTTCTATAATATATTCTTGAGTAGAGGGGAGATATTATAAAGCATTAACTTCTCCTGTGATTATTTCCTTCTTTCCCAGGTATGGTGTGGTGCTTCGAAAACTGGACTTGGTAAAAGAGGCCATTGATGTGTTTGTGGAGGCTACTCATGTTTTGCCTTTGCATTGGGGAGCCTGGTTAGAACTCTGTAACCTGATCACAGACAAAGAAATGGTAAATTGAGATGATCCTCGTGAAGATCCCTCTGCTTCCAATGTAATTGGGGGGTGGTGAAGTTTTGCCCATATGACCTCTTTAGCTAGCTCTTTGCTGTGTCTTTAGTCCCTGTCATAATTTCAGAATTTAGATCTTCATTGGATGATAACTAGATCTTGCTCAGTAGCTGCTGTTGGATTCGAATCCATTGATATTGGAATGTTTTTTGTATTCATGTTTTGACATTCAAGTTTTCCTATAACTTGTTTTATGGAATAAGTGTTATAGTTTCTCCTCTAATTCTAGTGATACTATAGGAAAGATTTCTCTGATATCAAGGATTATACTAAAACATATTTTCAGGCCTCTTTTGAGATATCATGGATTCTGTAAATATTTAGAGATTTATTAGTGAAATAATGTATATGAAACTGCTTTATTAACTGCAATTGCTTTATTAGTCACTGTTAGAAGACTTTGTCTATGATGTTCATTCTGCTATTCTTCAGTGGCTAATAGAAGCAACAACACAATTCCTTTTGTTGGCTTTAAAGAGCCAAAGTAATGATTTATGCTAAAAATCTGTGTCTGAGATCTGACCTTTGTTTACTTATATTCACCTATCTCTAACTACCTCCTAGATTTCCACTGAAAGTTTTACCTCTGAACTCAAAATATGCAAAACCAAATTTTTCATCTTGCTTACCAAATTCTTCTTGCTATCTTGATATCTCACTACGTTTGCTATTTCTCAAGACACTCACATCTTGACACCTCAGAGTCATATTTATTTGTCTTTCCCTTTCTCTTATTTTCCTTAATCTAGTCAATCATGAGACAGTGCCATGATTGCTTTCTTGTGTACATCTCTTTGTCTTGGTTCTCTTTGTCATCTCTGTTATTTCAAATTTGAATTACTTATAAGTAATAGATACTTTCTCTCTAGCTTTCCCATTTTACACTTAACATTTCAAAGTCATCCTACATATTGTTTCAAAATTTATTCTTGGCATGAATGACACATCATCATGTCATTCTCTTGGCAGAAATATATAGTAGTTTCCTGTTGTACCCCATTATCTGTTGCATGGTAGGATCTACCCTACCAGCCTAATCTTATTTTTCCTCTTTTTCTGGATATAGCTTCCTCAAACCAAGCTAGTTTCCTCATCCTATTCACACACATCATATCTGTTTTGGCCCTACTTAGGTTGTTGCCCTTGCCTTGAATGTTATCTTCTTAATTTTCCTTCCCCTTTTCTCTATTTAAACCCTACCCATTCTCTAAGACTCACCTTTTCTTTAAAGCCTATTCTCAGTAGATCATTCTTCCCTAATTGTGCTTATAAGCCATATTCACTTAGTTGGATTACCCTGTACTCATTATTAGGTGCTTTAATAAAATTTTAGTGGTAAATCCCTTTAGACAATAAAGATCGTTCCTTGATTTTCATTTGGGAGAGAGGTCAAATTTTATTAAGTGTGTCCCTCTCTCTCCTGCTGCCAGCTGAAGTTCCTGTCTTTGCCAGACACCTGGATGAAAGAGTTTTTTCTGGCTCATATATACACAGAGTTGCAGTTGATAGAGGAGGCCCTGCAAAAGTATCAGAATCTCATTGATGTGGGCTTTTCTAAAAGCTCATATATTGTTTCCCAAATTGCAGTTGCCTATCACAATATCAGAGGTGAGTGAATAAGGACAATGAAATACCCTCAGACCCTGATAGGTGCACTGTGTTGTTTTCTGAACTTGCTATGTTCTTTCTGCAGATATTGACAAAGCCCTTTCCATTTTCAATGAGCTAAGGAAACAAGACCCTTACAGGATTGAAAATATGGACACATTCTCCAACCTTCTTTATGTCAGAGTAAGCTGCTTCTTTTGCTTGGGTTTGATTAAGCTCTTTTGTATTTTAGTCTCTTGGATTGGATTGTTACCTGTTTGTGTTAGCTATAAGAGAAATTATTTAGAGAACCCTTTTCCATTACTTAGATTTTTTTTTTTTCTTTTTTCTCCCCAGAGCATGAAATCTGAGTTGAGTTATCTGGCTCATAACCTCTGTGAAATTGACAAATACCGTGTAGAAACGTGCTGTGTAATTGGTAAGAGTTAACTACATTTTTTTCTTTTAAGACTTATTTTTGTTATAAATATCATGAATGTAAAAATAACAGCAGTATTAAAAGTGTCAAAGATGAGAAAATTATGTACCAGAGAATATGAAAGCTTACTGTTATCCCACCCTAAGGTTGTTTGGTGAACGTGACTCCAGAATGTTTTTTGTGTGAATACCAAAAATATGTATTTGTTTATAGTGTGTAAAAACTAATCATTATATATACTATACTATATACTGTATCGGTATTAGCCTGTCTTATATCCACTAGGTATTGTGTAATAAGTTTTGTGTAATAACCTATTTTTGTGTAAATACTGCTTTGTAGCTTTTTTTTTAAATGATAAATGTTTGTCATCTTTCCATATTAGTACATTTTGATTTGTTTTACTTTTGATGATAGTACCTTGTTTTTGGTGTTGGGGATTGGATCCAGGGCCTTCCACAAGCTAAGCATGCACCCTATCACCAAGCTATGCCATCAGCCCTCAGCATCTTATTATCTATCTATTTCTTTCTTTCTTTTTAAATATTTATTTATTTGTAGTTGAACACAATAACCTTTATTTATTTATTTATTTTATGTGATGCTGAGGATCGAACCCAGGGCCTTGCACATGCAAGGCAAGCGCTCTACCGCATAACCCCAGCTCCTTATTATCTATTTCTATTAAATATTTCTGCTTAATAATTTTGTTTATTGATTTATTTTTTTGTGGGTGGTGCTGGGACTCGAACCCAGGAGTACTCTACCACTAAGCTACATCCCCAGCCCTTTTTATTTATTTGTTTATTCGTCTGTTTATTTATTTATTTTTAAAATATTTTTTTAGATGTTGATGGACCTTTATTTTATTCATTAATGTATATGTGGTGCTGAGGATCGAACCCAGTGCCTCACACATGCTAGGCAAGCGCTCTACCACTGAGCCACAACCCCATCTTTTTATTTTATTTTTTTGGTACTGGGGATTGAGCTTAGAGGTACTTTACCACTGAGCTACATCCCTAGTCCTTTTTATTTTTTGTTTTTGAGATAGGATCTCTCTTAAGTTGTTGAGGGTCTTGCTAAGTTGCTGAGGCTGGCCTTGAATTTGTAATCTCCTGCCCTCAGCCTCTGTAGTTGCTGCGATTACAGGCATGTACCACCATACCAGGCTTTATTTAGTAATTTTTTATAATATAAGTTGTGACTAGTCTTTGTTAATATAAATAAAAATTGCTTTAAGAAACATCTTTATGCATATACATTTGTTTTTGGATGCTTGAATCTATTTTTGTGTAATAAGTTCCTAATCGTAAAAGCCTAGATCAAGGGTGTGTGTGTTTGTTTTATACTTTAATATGACTAAAAAGTGTGTTAGAATTTCCAGTCCTATGAAAAGAGATGAGCGTGTCTGTTTTCCTGTACCTGACCATCTCTTCTCTACGGTATTGATGATTTGGGCTGGATAGCTTTTTTTGTTGCAGGCTGTCCTGTGCATCATCGGTATTAGCATAGCCTTGTCTTATACCCACTAGGTACTGGTAACTTCCTTTCCCCAGTAGTTATAAGTAAAAACATTTCTAGATGTTGCCAAACACCCTCTTGAGGGTTGAGAACCATAACCTTATATAGGCCATGCTATGTGGCCTGGTAATCAGTGGATATAGACAAGTGAATGACTACTCCTGGAGAAAGTAAGCATGGTGGGTTTTGATTGAAAGACTCTGTTTTCTGAAGATGAAAGGAATACCTGTTCCTGGGTCTTTGGTCACATTATATCAAGATCATACATTTGTACCTTTCTAGGTCAGGATGTTATTAATAAACTAATGGAATTTCAGTTCATCATTTGATTAAATACTTTTAGCTCTTGAAGTTATGGTCTATAAAGCAAAGTAAATATTAACAAAAATATAGTAAGTCCTTTGGGAACACAAATAGGCAAAGAACAAATGGTCTTTTCAATATCAGAGTACTTTGAATGAACTATAATGTACATTAGGTAAGGGTGGAACTCCAGTTTATTTAGAAATGTCTCTTGAGTATCTTCTGTGTGCCAAGTCACTATGCTTTGTATTGCAGTACCTACCCTAACTGCCTACTGAAGAAGACTAATAAGAAAACAACTATCAGCAGGTTGAATGTTATAATTGAAGTGAACACAGCATGCTAAGGGAGTACACAGGAAAGGTATCTAATACAGTCTGAGATTAGGGAAGGCTCATTAGAGGTGATACTTGAATGATGGGCAGGAACAAAAGAATTCAAGAAGAGAGGAGAAGGGTTGACTCAGGAAGAGTATCATTTGACCAGAGGTAACAGACATTGTATCTGAAAATAGTTCATTGTGCCTGGGCATTTTGTGAGAGGTAGGAATGAACAAATTTCAGGTAGCCTTTTGTACCCAATAGGTGTCTTCTGGAGGATTTAACTAGAGAGTGATGAAAGTGGTCAGATTTTTATTTTGGAATAACAACCAGAAACAATTGTGCTGGGAGGATTAGAAAAAGGGCAAGAGTAGAGGTAGAGAGACCAGCTAGGAGACTCTTGCTGTAATCTTGTGTAGAGATGATGAGAGCCTAAGCTGACACATTGGCAGGATGAGTGGAGAGGCTATTGGACTTAGAAGATATTTAGGAAGTAGAATGAACAGGAATTGGTGATTGGTTAACCAGATTGATTATAGTGACTTTTACATGATGAAAGGAAATAGAGGTAGAGGAGATAATGAATGATTCCTTTTTTTTTTTAACCTATTGACTTGAAACCATTTGAAATCAAAGGAGAACCCTAATATAGTTCTAGAGATAATTGCAATTGGTATTTTCAGTATGTCCTTCCAGACTTTTTACATGTATATATGAATGTATGTGTGATTTTGTATATGAGATTTAATCATCCTAGGTTTATCAAATATTAATATTTTGCCATATTAAAAGACCTTTTTAAAATATTTATTTTTTAGTTATAGTTGGACACAATATCTTTACTTAATTTATTTATATGTGGTACTGAGGATCGAACCCAGGGCCTTGCACGTGCTAGGTGAGCGCTCTACCACTGAGCCACAACCCCAGCCCCTATAAAAGACCTTTTAAGAAAAAAAAGGGGTGGAGGAGATATGCCTAAGAAGAATAATGATTAAGGAGTTTCTTGAGTTTTTTTGCTTTTGTTTTATTTATTTATTTATTTATTTATTTTGTAGTTGTAGATGGACAGAATGCCTTTATTTTATTTGTTTTTATTTTTATGTGGTGCTGAGGATCAAATGCAGTGCCTCACACATGTTAGGCAAGCGCTCCACTGCTGAGCCCCAACCCCAGCCCATGCTTTTGTTTTATTTTTAATCATTCAATGAAATGTTCTTTTTTCCCTCAGTATATCCATAATGCCCAGCAAAATTACTGATATATAGTTAATAAATGTTTGTGGAATTCAGCCCACCTACCTTAAAAATTTAAGAATAAGGAACATTAGGTATAACAAAAAATGAACTTCATTTTTCATATTATAGCCAGTGCAGAGAAAGTGGAAAGGAGAAAGAAGGATGGAGAGGAAAAAAGGAAACTGAGGACCTGAGAGAATGAAACAATCTGAGAGGAGAGTGATGGCAAGAATTTCCTACTGGTTTAGTCCTTGCTTCTGCTTCTACGTCTTGACATGAATTGTTTCCTTCTGCACTTGTTTAGGAGTCCCAGTCACTTTCTCTAAGAGCCAGCATTATATGTATATCTTGGCATAATTAAGATTTGGACTCTAGACCCAGACTGCTCAAGTTTATTTATTTTATTTTTTGTGGTGCTGAAAATTGAATGCAGGGCCTTGCACTTGCTAGGTAAGCAATGTATTACTGAGCTACATCCCAGCCCAGACTATGCAAGTTTAAATCTGGATTCCGATACTTTTTCCCCCCCTGTACTAGGGATTGAACTCATGGGGCACTCTGCCACTAAGCCACATCCCCAGCCTCCCCTGCCCCTGCCTTTTTTTTTAAAACATTTATTCTTTAGTTTTAGGTGGACACAATACCTTTATTTAGTTTTTATGTGGTGCTGAGGATCGAACCCAGTGCCTCACTCATGCTAGGCGAGCGCTTTTCGTCTGAGCCAACCCCAGCCCTCCCCAGCCCTTTTTGAGTTTTTATTTTGAGAGATGATCTCACTAAGTTGCCCAGGCTGGCTTTGAATTTGTGATCCTCCTACCTCAGCCTCCTGAGTGACTGTGATACAGGCAGGGGCCACTGTACCTCACTAGGTTCTGATACTAAGTAGCTGACTTTGGATAGAGTTCTGTGCTTTAGTATTTTCATCTATAAGGAGAGAATAATAAATAAAACCTTCTTTCATGTAGTTGTAAAGATTTAAAAAATAAATACATATCCAAAACTTACAATACTGTAAATTACCAGAAAAATTATAATCATTCAGTACATTTTAGCTCTTACATCTACTTAATCCTTATGCAGAACTTGCTAGTTCTGTCTTCCCTAATATCTCCTTTGTTATCCTGACTTCTTTAACTACTGAGTCTCATACTTTTGCTATCACTATCCTACCTCTTCTTTATTACAAAAGTTCACCTTTGGGCACTCTGCCTAGATCTGCTTACGCTTCCATTTCTGAATCTGAGTCAGTGGCAGAAGCAAAGATATCCTTGTGTAGGACATAAAGTCCTCCATCCCGCTTTTTTCTAGATGAACATGAAATTGAGTTTAAACTTAAATAACCAGATACAGAGTACAGATAATTTATATAATTGATTTCTCCTTAATCAAACTAAAAGGCTTGAGTCTAGACAGATTTAAAAGACATATATGGAAGACTTGGGGATTTTTTTGGTTAGTTTATCAAAATGGAATCACATTATGTAATTACTCCATAATTTCTGTTTTTTACTTGATAGTTTATTATGTTTCTTGTAAGTGTATGTATGTGTAAATGTGTGTGTGTGTATGTGTCTGAATCTATTTTTGAATCTAATGCACATGCAATTAATACAATATACAAAGGACTTTTTTAAAAAAATTTTTAAGTTCTGGTTGGACACAGTACTTTCATTTTATTTATTTATTTTTATGTGGTGCTGAGGATCGAACCCACGGCGCCTCACATGTGCTAAGCGAACATTCTGCAGCTGAGCCACAACTCCAGCCCATAAAGGACATTCTTTTAAGTACAGGTTTTTTTTTTTTTTTTTTTTTTGCTTGTTGCATTCTTTACCCTTTAAGTTATTGTATTAACATGTTCACATTAGAATATATACATATATGCAGGGTATAATGGGCTACTTGCTTAACAAAAGTAGGATCAAATTTTATACTAATGTTCTGCATTTTACTTTTCTCATTAGATACCTCATGAAAATTCCTCCAAGTCTTGGTATAGCTCTAATTTATTCCTTTAAAAAAATAATTTTATTGGGGCTGGGGGTGTGGCTCAAGTGGTAGCGCGCTCGTGTGGCATGTGCAGGGCACTGGGTTTGATCCTTAGCACCACATAAAAATAAAAAATAAAAGATGTTGTGTCCACCGAAAACTAAAAAATAAATATTAAAAAATTCTCTCTCTCTCTCTCTCTTAAAAAAAAAATAGCTTTATTGGGCTGAGATTGTGGCTCAGTGGTAGGGCACTCGCCTAGCATGTGTGGGGCCCTGGGTTCGATCCTCAGCACCACATAACAATAAATAAATAAAATAAAGATATTGTGTCCAACTACAACTAAAAGATATAAAAAAAAAGCTTTATTGAGGTATAATTTACATAGCATAAAATTTACCTATTTTAAGTTTACAGTTAAATGAGTTATAAATTTACAGTTTGGAATCATCATCATCATAATCCAGTTTATAATATTCCATCATCTCCAAAAGTTATTTTGTCTGTAGTTGGTCCCATTCCCATCTGCTGGCAACCATTTCTATTTTCCAGGTTTATAGTTTTGCCTATTCTAGGAATTTGATATAAATGAAATTTTGCAGTAGTATTATTGTCTGACTTTTCTCAGTTAGCATGTTTTTGAAGTTTATTGATGTTGTTGCAGATATCGGTAGTTCTTTTTATTCCTGAGTAATATTCCATTGTTTGGATATACCACTGTTGTTTATCTATTTGCCACTGATGTAAGATGAATGGCTTTTAGGTTCTTAAAATAAAATCTTTCCCAGAATACTAAAGTCTTTTGCTTGCTCTTTTTGGAACAAGTGATTAGAACTGCCTTGATTCTTGAGGAGGGAAAACTCTCTGAGCTCTATTTTTTTTTAACCCTTAGGGATACTTCCTTATAAACTTAGGCTTGAAGGGATATAGTTTGAAAACCACCAAGCTAAAGTATACTATTGAAATTTCATATACTATATTAAGAAAATGAGTATATAAATGCTATTTCCAGATGAGATTAATGAAGAAAAACTTAAACAGTGTTTGGGAACAATTTTATTTTTTATACTACAGGGGATTCAGCCTAGTGGTGCTCTACCTATGAGTTATATCTTCAGCCCTTTAATTTTTATTTTGAGACAGGGTCTTGTTAAATTGCCTAGGCTGGGCTTGAACTTGAGATCCTCCTGTCTTACCTTTCTGAGGTGTTGGGATTATAGGTGCATGCCATCACACTCTGCTGGGAACACATTTGTTTGTGTGTGTGTGTGTGTGTGTGTGTGTGTGTGTGTGAACCAGAATTTGTGATAGATTAACTATATTTGCTAAGGGAATGATAATATTCCCCTTGTTTAAAATTTGGCTTTTCTGCAAAGTTTCATGCTTACCTGGTAGAATGTTATTTCAGAAGACTTATTTTTACCCTTCTACCTTTATATATATATAATATTTTTTATTTTTTTAAATCAGGCAATTATTATAGTTTACGTTCTCAGCATGAGAAAGCGGCCTTATATTTCCAGAGAGCCCTAAAGTTGAATCCTCGGTATCTTGGGGCCTGGACACTGATGGGGCATGAGTACATGGAAATGAAAAATACATCTGCTGCTATCCAGGCTTATCGGTGAGCATCTAGTTGGGGGTTGAGGATTGCTGTGTTAGGAGCCTCAGTTGAGCCTGCAAGTTTCAAGCCTTGATTATGCTTTCTTAACATTCTTTCATTTTCATTTCTTAGACATGCCATTGAGGTCAATAAGCGGGACTACAGAGCTTGGTATGGCCTTGGGCAGACCTATGAAATCCTTAAGATGCCATTTTACTGCCTATATTACTACAGACGGGCCCACCAGCTTCGGTAAGTCTGGTCACTTTACAATGTATCTGGTGTGGGAAGGGCTGTTTCAGTAGCTATTCATCAATCACAGAGAATGGTTTCGGCTTTTGGAGACTTGAATTTAAGCTTGCTAAAGCTGTTTGGTCATTTTTATTTAATGTCTTCCACTAATGGGTTAATAGTACAATTATGAACACAAAGTAACCTAATTATATGAAGTATTAGAATAAAGGTCAAACCTTGTATAGATTTGAAATAGTGGTGCTAGTTCCTCAATGGAAGACTTCAGTTATCAATAAAGTCTTTGCACAAACTACCTATTCCTCTTCTTTCTTAGGCCCAATGATTCTCGTATGCTGGTTGCATTAGGAGAATGTTATGAGAAACTCAATCAACTAGTGGAAGCCAAAAAGGTACCTGAAATTGAAGTCTGGAGAATTTGAGTGGAAATCTGCAGTTTAGATACAGATTGGGCTGTATGTGCTCTAATTTTCCTTTATATTGATCTATGTGTAAGGAAAAGTCTGAATATTTACAGGTGCATAGGCTAAAAAAAAGGTGTGCTGAGATCATTAGTGGGAATGCTGTTTATAGCCTGAACCTATTAGAAATGGCAAAAATGTCTTGTATTTTGCAAATCTGAACTCCTAGGAAGCTTGTAGGACCTTTCCCTTTATGTGATTAATGATGGCACATGGGACGATGGTCAAAGTAACTGGTTTAATTTTTTTTGACAGTGTTATTGGAGAGCTTATGCTGTGGGAGATGTGGAGAAAATGGCTCTGGTGAAACTGGCAAAGTGAGTGAAAGGAGAGAAACACTATTGATACTTCTGTTGTCCTTTTTTTAATATTTATTTTTTAATTGTAGTTGGACATAATACCTTTATTTTGTTTGTTTATTTTTATGTGGTGCTGAGAATCGAACCCAGGGCCTTGCACAGCACTCTACCGCTAAGCCATAATCCCAGCCCCTCTCTCTATTGGCTTTTCTAGGATGGTGGGTCTTGCATGTTTTAAAGCCTCCCGCCCTTCCATTGTCATACATGAGTGTGGGAATTTGAATCTCGAAAATGTCATTCCTCTTTGAAGGGGAAATAATTTTCCCTGTTAGGCAAGGGATCAAGATGAATTGAAAAAAGTAAATGAATGGGTGGGGTATAGCTCAGTAGTAGAGTGCTTAAATGACACATATGATCCCTAGCACTGCATTTAAAAAAGAGAGAGAGGGCTGGAGATGTGGCTCAAGTGGTAGCTGGCTCGCCTAGCATGCGTGAGGCACTGGGTTCATTTCTTAGCACATAAAAATAAAATAAAGATATCATGTCCACCTAAAACTAAAAAAATAAATATTTTTAAAAAAGAGAGAGGGCCGGGGTTGTAGCTTAGCGGTAGAGCACTTACTTACCTCACTTGTGAGGCACTGGTTCAATCCTCAGCATCACATTAAAAAATTAATATAAAGGTTTTTTTTTTTAATTGTAAAGAAAAGAGAGAGAAATGACATTTTTGTGTTAGAGCAGTCTAGGAAAACTACGTTAAGGATCGATCTCCCTCAAAGAAAAAATTAGTAATAGCTCAAAATAGTTGGAAAAGAGGTATTTAAATGCAATTTAGTTTCTCCCAGTTTATTTGTAGATTCTTAAATCTGAATTGCTTGGTTTATTTTTCAGTCTCATTTTCAGTATTACCAGGAAATTTTTATGAGGTTGTATACCCAGTTTAAATATTTATTCGTAACTCTCCCTCTGTTGGTAGTGGTAAAATAATGGTTTTTGCCATATTGAGTATCAAACCCAGGGCATCACACTTGCTAGGTAAGCATTCTACCACTGAGCTATGTACACACCTTTTTTTATTTTAAGACAGTGTTATCTAGGCTGGCCTTGAACTTGAGATCCATCTGTATCAGCTTTCCAGGTAGCTGGGATAATAGGTGTCCCACTGCCCACCCCCAATCCTCAGCCTTTTTTTTTTTTTTTTCCCCTTGTGCTAGGGATCAAACTCAGGGCTTAATGCATGCTAGGCAAGTGTTCTACCACTGAGCTATACTCCCAGCCCCTGAATCTAAACTTTATTATAGTAACCATAACATCTTATGGGTACTAAGACTTTTTCAGGGTCTTGTGTCATTTATGTCAAAATTTGTACTTGTGTGTGTATTGTCATTTTTTAGAACTTAATTATTTTTTTGTCACTCATTTGCTTTGAGGTCTGATTTGTATTTAAAGCCAATTTTCTTTTGTAGGCTTCATGAACAGTTGACTGAGTCCGAACAGGCTGCCCAGTGTTATATCAAATATATCCAAGATATCTATTCCTGTGGGGTATGTGTCATAACATGAGAGTTGTGTTGCCAATCTTATTCTTACCATCTCAGACATTTCTGCTTTCCTTGTCTAGGAAATAGTGGAACATTTGGAGGAAAGCACTGCTTTCCGCTATTTGGCCCAGTACTATTTTAAGTGCAAGCTGTGGGATGAAGCTTCAACTTGTGCCCAAAAGTGTTGTGCATTCAATGATGTATGTATCAGTTCTTTCGTAAAGGGTTTGGATTTGAGGCTAGAATGTATGATCATTACCATGATGTATAGGTGGAAAGTGGGTATGAATATCAGTGGAAAGCCTTTGATCTGTGGAACTTGTATATCATCGTTGTCTTAATAACCTGTTTTTGAGAATAGCCTTGAATATATTTTGAAACAGTTGCCTGACTTTCTTTCAGACCCGGGAAGAAGGTAAAGCCTTGCTCCGGCAAATCTTGCAGCTGCGGAACCAAGGGGAAACTCCCACGGGCGAGATGCCTGCTCCCTTTTTTCTCCCTGCTTCATTGTCTGCTAATAACACCCCCACACGCAGAGTTTCTCCACTCAACTTGTCTTCTGTCACACCATAGTTGGCTACTTTCAAGTTAGCACTTTGCTAGACCCATATTAAGCCTTACCTTCATGTAAAGAATGGCCATGTCTGTCCTTCCAAGGACTGCAGCTCTTTTTGTTTCTACAGATGGAAATAGCTTCTTGGGGACAGTTTATATAATTACCTTCAGAGGCAGATAGAAGAATACTGGCAGAAACAGATTCTGTCTTTTGCCAGTTAGAAGCACTTCTATCTCCCTTCTATTCAGAGTGGCTGTCAATCTTGGCCTTCTTCTCAGTGCCCTTTCTCTCCACCCCCATTAAAACATACCTTTTACAGCACTTTAGCACAGGCAATGCTACAGGAAAAAGGTTTTAATGCTGCTGGGAGTGGGACAGGCAAGAGAGGGAGAAGTCTGCCACTCTACCCTTTTCTGGCAGTAAGGGCACTAACTACCCTAGGAAGGAGTCAGGGCACTAGACAGAAATGACTCCTTGAATTTGCTGAGTTATGATCCCTATTCTGATATTAAGAGATTAGGTTTAAACAAAGTGGAGCTATACATTTGTTCTTAACCTAGGAGACATTCTTCAAGACAGTTTTGAAAAGGAATCTGGAAGTAACTTACTAGGATTGAAGGGCAAAAAAACTCCACCTGAACTATTGATGACCCTTCCTAAGGGCAGAGATGGCTATAGCACTAGCTATACCTCTACCAAAGCAAAGCTAGAATTACAGATAATTCATGGACTTTTGAAAATAACATTTTTGACTATATTGAGAATAAACTTAATTCATGCTGGTTTTAATAAATTTTTGATATAATTGTTTTTTTCCTTCCTATCTCCAAAAGAATACATTTTGTCAGCCTTATTTGTCTAGACTAGGTAAAGGGAATCATTTTTGTGGTGCTCTTGGAGGATTTCAGATCTGTGCACATGTTCACTAGCAGGTAATATGCTTTGACTGTGATGTCAGCTATAATGAACTTGTAGATGCTATGAACCATTCTGGGCTCAGGATCTAGTTTTCCTTCTCTTATTCCCAGAACATTTTTATTACCTCTTCACCTCCTAATGTATGATACTTCATTTTATATTTAAACATGTAGACTATCTAATATCACTTGAATTCATTATTACTAAACCTTAGACTTGGTATATGCTAGTTCCTGGTCTTCATTGCCATTTCTATGCAAAGTTCTTAGGGGCCAGAATGACATTGAGTACCAGGTTTTCTACCCTTTTAATAATTTGTTTTAATGATTTTGCTAAATTTGATATTTGAATAAAAAATGTGAACAATAATCTTTATTTAATATAACTTTTTTGTGTGCATAGAAACCATATGAGTGAAAAAACATGAGATTACAAAAGTGATTATAATACAAAAGGTGTGGGGAACTAGTATATGAGTATTGTATGCCGCATACAGTTCCAGGTATATGGTAAAGCTGAAAACAGGTCTGTTTATTAAGCTGAGCAGCTGACCCACATAGGGAGATGACTGTGTTCTTCCTCCCCAGTCTTAGTATTTTTTGCCAAAAGGCCCAGATTTGAGTAAAGGAGAGCGCCTTGAGCGCAAGATCCGGGCATAAGGGCTACAGTCTGTTGAGCTTTGGCAGGTAGGTGTCCGGGGAAGTAAGTTTCGAAGGAATGGTTTTTTCCCTGGAGGTTGCTGGTTTGGTTGCTGGTTTTCCTGGTTGGTACCAAGGCGCTTTTTGGCAGAAGCAGCCTGGCCTTGAAGCTTTTGCACAGTATGATACTGCTCAGCAATGCATGTTGCCTTCTTCTGAAGGTCCAGTTTCACTAGCATCATGTTGTTCTGCAGTTCAGCTAGTGTCTGGTCCTAGGGAATATCAATAAAGTTAGAAAAAATTCATCTTTGTATGGTATATTTAGAAAAACAAGGTGGCAAGGTAATACATGCTATCCATTATTAGTAACTAGTAACTATTTCTTCAAAGATAAACTCTTTAAGGTTAGAGCTTATAACTGAATAGAGGATATATAATTTTAAGACCCAAGCACAAGCAGTGCTGAACAGGACATTTTTTAACACAAAGTGGCATCAGCTTAAACAAGTTTATTTAACTTCCAAGAGCCTCAGTCCCTAGACACAAAATTTTGTGCATAACACCTGTAATCCCACTATTCAGGAAACTTAAGATCAAAAGTTCAAAGGTAGCCTGGACAACTTGTAGGTCCCTGTCTCAAAAATAATAAAAAGAGCACACGCCTATAATCCCAGCAGCTGGGAGGCTGACATAGGAGAATCACCAGTTCAAAGCCAGGTTCGGCAACTTAGCAAGGTCCTAAGAAACTCAGTGAGACCCTGTCTCTAAATAAGTTTTAGATTGAGTGTCCTTGGGTTCAATCCCCGGTAACAGAAATAAATAAATAAAATAAATAAAAAGGGCTGCAGAGCACATGCCTAGCAAGTGTGATGCCCCATATTGAATCCCTTACTACCACTGAAAAAAGAAAAAGGTATGCTTAGTCTAAGATGCACATTTTTCTTAAACATTTTAAGATCTCTGGGATTAGAATGTATTTTATGGATGAGAAATGTCATAGCCTGGGCTGGGGTTATATGTCAGTGGTAGAATGCTTATCAAATGATAAGCCCTGGTTCCATCCCCAGCCTCATAATTAAAAAAAAAAAATCAGTTTGTTAGTTTTCACAGCTTGTTAGTTTTTTTCTTAATAATATATAACATGATGGGCTGGGGATGTGGCTCAAGCAGTAGCGCACTCGCCTGGCATGCGCGGGGCGCTGGGTTCGATCCTCAACACCACATAAAAATAAAGATATTGTGTCCGCCTAAAACTAAAAAAATAAATATTAAAAAAATAATAATATATAACATGATACCAGTGGCATCTTAGATGAAATATGACAGTATATGCCTCCCTATGGTTGTTACGACAAGGTGCACATACATTACCACAGTACCTATTAGTACTTAGTAAATGCTTCACAAAGAATCATTTCTTATTTAGCAAGGAAGAGAAATTCCTCCTTACTCTTAAGTTTATCCTAAAAATCTTTTTCTCTTATGTTCCTGATACCCTTTTTCACATATATACTGGAATGGGCTAGTAAGAGAAGAGGGGGTATTTAGGCTGCTCTAACCTGTTTGATTAAGATGTCATCACAAGTGGTCAAAGCTTGACGAAGTTTTCCTGCCCCAGTGCTGTGGCAGCAGGCCCTTTCTGCTGACTGGAGAGACTCACCAAGTTTCTGAAGCTCTGACCGCAGTAATCTTATATTCTAAAAAAAGGAGTAGGATCAGATTATACCAAGATCAACCCGGTAATGATGTGGAGGGGTTGGGTCACCATTTGAAGAGAAGTAAAATTAGAAAGTCTGGTCAGCTGAATGAAAACGCCATTCCCCAGAACCCTGCACAAAAGAACCCCTTGTCCTCATGAATCAGAAACTGCCTTAGGTAACAGCTTTTGTAACAGAAAGATTACCTTCTGGCCCTCCTCTAATTTCTTGTCCACGTCACTGGTAAAGGGCTTTGCTGAGGGTGGTGGTTCTAACATTCTCTGATACTTCTGCAGCTCTGAGGGAAAGAACAAGGAAACTTGAACACATAGATTTTCTAGTTTTAGACCTACCTCTTTTTAACGTAGTTAACAGTAGCTTACAGTAAATATAAAAGGTGAGGCCACATAGAGCCTAGAGTGAAAGGTCTGGGGGACCTTTTCTGCAGCTTGGAGTTGAGGAAATTATGTTGAAATTAGAATCAGAAAGCCCAGTTTTGAATACCACCTTTTCCCTGAATCACTAATGCTTCCTGCCTTCTCTCCTTCCTCACCTTTAGTGGTAGAGTTTAGCTCTGCTTTACACTGTTGTAGTTCAGCATTAACCTCCTGGAGCTGCTGAGTGGAGGCAGAAGCTGCCAACCTTTTTGACTGCCGCATGGATAATTTAGACCCTGACTGTTGATGGGCCTCAGATTGCTGTCTGGTTTCCTGCAAGAGAGCTTCTAGTTCTTCAATTTTTTCATCCCGTTCCTAAGAGGGAAGTAGAGAGCACAATTCTGTTAAGGGTCAGACAAATATTGGATGAAACAGATGACAAACAATGAACAAAAACTTTCCCAATACTTCAAAAACCTATTTGCTAGCACTTCTATTAATTCCTGCCCAACTAAACCCCTTAATTCACTAAACATACATTAAACATGTACAAAGCACCTAAAGGGAATACAGAAAAGGAGTTCTATATATTATAAATGCTTGCTCTTACCAGAGTTTATAAAGTCTGTTAACCTCAGGCAAATTAGTGATAGAAATCTGAGTAGCTAATTGGGGTTGGTTCAGGGTAACTTACCTGAATCTCTTCGTGGTAAAAACTTGTGAGTGACTCCTTGAGAATCTTTAGTTTCTCTTCATACATTTCCTCCATTAGTTCCTTTTGGGTGTCCAAATGCTCACTGTCAGAGGAGAAAAAAGAAGTGAGTGAAGATTTTTTTTTTTAATATCTTTATTTTCATGTGGTGCTGAGGATCGAACCCAGTGCCTCACGTGTGCAAGGTAAGCACTCTACTACTGAGCCACAACCCCAGCCCGTGAGTGAAGATTTTGAGGGGTAAACTTGGAGGATGATCCATTCCCTGTCCCACTTGACAGTAAGAGGGATCACTATGCCAGTACCTGCACCACTGTTCCCGTTGTTGCATTTGTTCTACCATCTCATTGCAAATTTCATCACGGAGTTGCATCTCCAGGTGCAACTTTTCCTGTCGTTCTTTCAAAAGCAGAGTTTTCAAGGCTTCCACCACCTGTAGGAGCTCCTAAAAGGAACATACTTGTCAGATGTATGCCCATAACCCCAAAAGGCCCAAGACTACGTGGAAAATGTATAGCCATTAAGCTGCTGCACCAAAGCTTTTTTGTATTCTCACCTCCTTGCTGTACATGGAGATGTCAACTTCATTTTCAGCGTGGTTGTCAAGGCCTGGGTCTGCCTTACTCCCTTTTTCTAAACCAGGGGATGCCTGAATACTCTGTTCCTTGATGAATGAATGCAGTGATGGGAGTCCTAGTTGCACAGGTGGGGCATGCACAAGCTAAAGGTGGGGGAAAAAAACCTTAATTATAAACTCCTTAACTGTTCACTGGTAAATTTCTATAAAGTTAGCAGCCTAAGGTAGGCACAATCAATACACCTACAGCTTCTCACCTGGCTGGCAATGGCTGAAAACTTGGCCACGTGAAGAGTCTCATCATAGGTAGAAGCACAAGGATTCACATTGACAATCATGCAGGATCGGCCTCGGCCTGTGAAGAAGCCTTGGAACACTCGGGTCAATTTGCTATCACGGAAAGGAACCAGGTTCTGCTTTGACCTAGCAAAGAACCAGAGGTAATAAATCTGTGAATAAGAACTCTAATCCTTAGGTATCCTAAGGCTATCCCCAGTCGTGACCAGGAAGTCTTGGTAAATTCAGAGTCCTAGGCCATCCCAGCCCAAGTTTACAGTCAAAAGCTCACCGGTTCTGTTGGTTTTGGCGCAGAGCAGCAATACAGCGGCCCAGGGTGTGCAGAGAAGTGTTAATGTTTCCTGCTTCCTTTAGCCGTTCACCACTCTTTTGATCTTTGCAGCGCTCTGAACCAGCCAGATCACAGAGTGAAAGCCTAAAATGATGCACAGGATCAGGCATAAGGACTTCATATAATGTAAGTTTATGGCCCATCATATTGTTTTGGAGAGGAGAGGGCCTACCAAGAATCTCTGTACCCAAGTAAGAACAAGTAATTCTGAGGACCTCCCTCTGTTCCCACAATGACTAAGTGATCAAGAAAATCAAACTTTCTTTTCTTCCTTTCTTTTTTTCTTAATAATGGAATTGAACCCAGAGCCTCATGCATGCTAGCCAAGTGCTCCATCACTGAGCTACATCCCCTTTCCAAGTGGCCTAAACTGCCTTTCAACTTGTGATGCTCCTGCCTCAGCTTCCTGAGTAGCTGTGATAAGAGATGTGCACCCACATATGGCAAGATCGAATTTCTAAGTGGAAAAACTTACTCGCTGATCTTGGGAATTATATCCCCTTCTCCCTGAAGGTGCAAGATCCGGATTGAGAAGATGCTATGACTGAAAGTTAAGAAAAAGAGGAAAATCATTGAATATCTTTCCTGACCAGGTGGAAGACTAATGTTTCCTAGATATAGTCAAGGGTTTATTCTCAAAATTCACTCACCTACGGCTAGAGTTCTGGTTCAGGTGTGTACTGGCAAAGCTCTGGTTCTTACGTCCCACTTTTAGGAGTCTCCAGGCTTCCTCAGCATCTTGAACATGAATCCAGTTGAGATCTGGGGCCAGAGGAGAGAAAGGTGTAAGATGGTAATATTCAACCCCCTCCAGGGTTTCTGCCTGGCTTTTCTCCACATTCACATACCTTTCACATAGGGATTGCCATTTTGATCCTCGCATAGCCGCAGAGTCTGCCTCTTCCGCTGCTGGCTAGGTGGTTCTAACAGGTCATAAAGCAGCTCATTGTAGATCTCAAAGAAGGAGATCCAGATGGAGAAGCGAATGTCTGCTGGTATGCTTACTGGGGCAGTGTCTGGCTGTGCCCATTGGTGACTTGTTTCTGAGGAGAAAGCCAATGTATAGACTATCAATCCTTGGGCAATTCATCTAACCTCTGGACTGCAGGGGCCATTGGAAGGTGGAGCTCAAGTTGTAACCTTGGGTCTGCTCCCCTGGTAGCTGCTAGGAGGAGGGAGTAGGTTCCTCTTATTACTTGGCAAAGAGCACATTCATGATACGTACCATCCAGCTGGCTACTGCTGATAAATTGACTGGTAGAAGAGAGCCCAGCAATGCCACTGTCAAAGCTGGTAGTGGTGCCCATCCGACTTTCAATGTAAACACTCCTCTTCAAAGAGGTAGATAGCTCCTCCTGAAGGGACACAGGGAGGAGGTAAGCACAAAGCTTTCCTGAGATTTGTATCCCCTACCCCTGCCTCATGTATACCAACACTTCACCTCTTGAAAGCCTCCACTGAGCAGGGACATCTTCTTCATTTCTTCCTGTCGAATCTGCCTACTATCTAGCCAGATTACCTCATTGGAGAGCGAGGGCTTCAGGTCAGGTGTTGAATGAAGTTGGCCTTGGAGGCTATTGAATATCAGAGCCAATGACCGAGGCAGGATCCCTCCATCTTTGATGGTACCTAGAGGCATATGAATGATGGACAGCTGAGGCAAGTGTCTTTCTCCCTCTGATTCAGAGCACCAAAAAGTAATTACAGGTCAATCCACCATCAAAGGCCAATCAGCAATACTGTGAAGCCTTACTACTCACCTTGAATCGTGTGAGTTTTCCCTGAGTTGGTGACTCCATATGTATAGATAAGCCAGTTCTGCCCTTTGAGTACATCCTTTACCATCTCCTTCACGGTCAGGTTGAAGAAGGATGACTGTCCCACTTCTGGCCCAAAGATCTGGAGACAGACCCAGTAACTCAGAGGTCCATTCTTCATCTCCCACTTGTATTCTATGCAGAGCCAGCATTCTATGCAGAGCCAGCATTCTATGCAAGCTACCCTTCCTGGGTGATTGGCTCTGGCTCCCATTACAGAAGGTTCTTTCTGCCTTGCTGTCAACTATTCCTAATCACTGAGGACTCAACTACTCTCTATTAGTCCATCTTTCATCCAAATCAAGAAATACTTAAAGAATGCTATGCACCAAGCCTGATTTGCACACACCATTGGGTAATATAATGGTCACAAGCAAGGGCTTTGGAGATGGATAAATCTAAATCCTAGTCCTGTTTCTCCCACTGATTAAAATCCCTGCATGCTGATTCCTTGGTTAAAGACTAGTATATCCATACCTGGGAAAAGGTGAACTTGTGGGTAGCTTGGCCAATTCCCCGCTCGTTGCTTTTCAAGGCAAAGGAGTCCTTGGGTGCTTGCAGAACAAGGGTCTCCATATTCTCAATTCGAACACAGCCCTGAGAAGGGGGAAATACAGTTTTTATAGAAGGAAATGTTGCTGGAGAATCTCTTCTTTACTGTATCATTCCACTTTAAAGCCTCCTCCTCAAACACTCACCTGATCCTCCTGTCGTTCCAACTCGGAAGGTAACAAGGGCCTGACCCTCAGGTATACTTTCACCTTCTCTGTACTGTCTTCACATGGAACCTGTGGTAGAATTCCAGCCCAGAATCACATATTAATTTCGGAAGTTACCTCTGAACAAATGGGCAAATAGCACAGTTCCTAAGAATCAGGTTAACACAAGCCCATTCCATCTCAAACGTCTCTGTGCAACTACTCTTTGGTTCTACAATCATTCTAACCCACATGACCTTTTTTACTCCTTTGTCACCCTCTCTCTCTCATCAGTACCCTGCAAACCTGGCTTGCCACACCAATTATCTGAGTTAGAATTGGTTGCGTGGTATGAAAATCAGCATATGATACAATAGCAGAGTAAAGTAGTTAGAGCACCTTGGACATAGACACACCTAAATTTGAGTACCAATTCCATTATTTAATAATTATGAGCTCTTGAACAAGTTCTTTAAATTCTCTTTGCCTCAGTTTCCTCATCTGCATAGTGAGGTTAATAATAGCACCAACATCATTCATTCAACAAATAGAGAATGCCTACTATGGCCCAGGAACTCTAAAAGGCTCCAATAGCTCCTAATGAGGGATGTTAAAGGCTCCAGTAGTTCCTAATGAGGGATGTTATCAAGGATTTTGCTTCCATAAAAACTTTGTTAGTTCCTAAGAGAGGGGAAAAAAACAATGTGATGACATATGTTAACATTTAGCATAAGGCCTAGCACAACAGTTTTTAACCAGGGCCATTATTTCCCCTCAAAGAACACTAGGTTGTTAAAGTGGGAAGGCATTACTGACATCTAGTGGGCAGAGGCCAGGAATGATGCTCAACATTTACAATGCACAGGACAGCTCCTTACAATAAAGAATCCAGCCTCCAAATGTCAGAAATGCTGTAGCTGAAAAACCCCAGCTTTGCAGCAAGAAAGGCTAAAAAAATGGAAGCAATGGTTGATATTATTAAAACCTGAATGTACATTCTACTTATGTAATGTCACCATGTGCCAATAATCGTGGGGGGTGAGTGGGGGTTTGAATCCAGGGTCTTATATGTTAAGCATGGGTTCCACTTACTGAGCTACCCACTCCAGCCTATACAAATCATTTAACATAACTGGGTCTCAAAATGGACAGATACATTCATTTATCCTTGTCTCAGAGATTACCTAAGAGTTATGCACTTCATTTCATTAATGCAATGCAAATAGTAGTTATTCTTTTTTTTTTTTTAAGAGAGAAAGAGAGAATTTTAATATTTATTTTTTAGTTTTCGGCGGACACAACATCTTTGTTTGTATGTGGTGCTGAGGATCGAACCCGGGCCGCACGCATGCCAGGCGAGTGCTCTAAATAGTAGTTATTCTTATGGGCATACAACTCTACATTTTTTACTTGTCATGCCCTTAGTTTAAATTGATGTCTCAGACCTTAGGGATTACTGGTTGTTGACATTAAACTATCCTGTATGGAGGATTATAGGCTGAGAATATAATTTTCTGCCCCCAAGCCACTATCCAATTCTTTATGTGTTTGCTTTTTGGTACTGGGGATTGAATCCAGGGGCACTTAACCACTGAGCCACATCCCCAACCCTTTTTTTGTATTTTATTTAGATACAGGGTCTCAATGAGTTGCTTAGGGCTTTGCTAAATTGCTGAGGATTCCTTTGAACTGGTGATCCTCCTGACTCAGCCTCCCGAGATGCTGGGATTATGGCGTGTGCCACCACCACCACCACCACTACAGGCCACTATTCAATTCTTTTACCTGCTGCTTGTCCTCCAGGGAGGTGGAGATGACAGAGCAGTCTGATAGTAGGTCTGTCCGGATCACAGATCCCAAATCTGCAGCTGTGGATTCAAACATTGGGGAGACTACCATATTCTCATCAGACAGCAGGCCCACAGGCGGAGAAAGGATTCCTTGAGACATGGCAGCGGAGGCAGCCTAGGTCTAAAAAGAGACAGAGTATGTAGGAAGAATAAGAAATGGAAGGAGCAACAAATCATAGGTAAGAAACAATGCCCTTGCCCCAGGGCACTCGGTTCACAGCCTGAATTGCAACTCTGTATTTTCTCTAATTACTAGCAAAGAGGAAGGGGAGGGGATATTGAATAATTTAAATCAAGTCTAAGGCTTCTTTTCTAAACCTGAACAGCAACTAATAGATATCTGGCTCCAAAAGTGGAAGGCCACGCTCCAAGTAGGGTGCCTGGCCTGCCAATGCTGTGGAAGTGATGTCAGGATCCAAGAGTCCATTTGCAACCTCACCCCAAAGCCCACCGAAAGAATACAGGTATTAAGGGAAGAAAGAGAGCGAGTAGTGCGGAGAGGGAGATGGCTGCAGTTTCTCTTTGTGAAAGCCTACTCTGCATGGGCAAGTGTTGGGAACCTCAGTTCCAGCCCGGCGGCACACTTACTGGAAGACGCGGCCCTCGCTGCTTCTCAGGTACCAGCTGAATCCCAGCAGCAGAACCTGGACTTTCGCTACCGGAGAGCTCAACTCCGCCCATGAGGTGCAGCTTTGTTCCTAATACAATGTTTTAAATTATGCACTGAGTTCGTTCGGCCAATCAGAAACGAAGCCTGCAGTTACCAATCAGCGTCAGGAAAGGGGCGGGGAAGACCCGGGAGACCGTTTGATTCAGCTTGACCTCTCACCTGTAATGTGGATCCGGGTTACCAACTGTCGTGCGTTTGGAGTTCTTTCTCCTGGGATTACTTCCCTTTAATTCTTTTCCTTGAACTCAGACATTTCTTTTATAAAACGCCTAAAGGAAATCCTGAGGCTTCGGTTGCCATCTCTGCCCTACTTTGGCAACAGTGCTTTCCAGGAAAGCACAAGATAACTGGTTTAAAGCTCTTGCTTCGACTTGGATGAAAAACCTACATTTCCCAGGAGGCACCGCGAACCAACGCCCGTACTCTATTTCCCAGAGTTCCCGGTGTTGGGTCCTACCTGACTCTAGCTCGCAGGCGTTGGAGACTTAGGGGCCAAGATGGCGACAGGATCGGGCAGTGAGTATTTGCGTGGAAGGCTTTTGTGGAGCGAAGCAAGGCATAGCATTTTTGGCACACACTAAGGAAGTGGGAGGAGTGGGATAACTGAGATCCTAAAGTGTTCAACGGCTTCGTGAGGGCCGGCGTTTGGGGTTTGAGACATAAATATAAGCTGTTGCGTCTCAGGGAAGGAGGGAGGTTTGAGAGAAGCAGCTCAGCGAGTCTTTGTATCAAGAGTTCTGCGGGGTAGGAGAGAAAGGCACTCTAGAAACTTGGGCGTTAAAACGAAGAGATGTGAGCCATATGGTGTGGCCGGCAGCTCAGAGTCATTCATTTTCTGAACAATGTGAGGCATTCGAAGTGTGATCACTTTAAATCACGAGCTTTTTCTGTCACTGGGAAATTGCGTTTCGTGAATTTCATTTTTATCCGTTTCATAGAGAATGTTTTTAGGTCCGTCGGTTGGGGGAGGGGCTGAAAGAAGTAAACAAGTTTATGCTAAGAGGGAGGCGGGGCAGTAGGAAGGGCGGGCGCTAGGAATCTTGGGAAATAAGCTCGCCTTCAAATTGGAATAAAGTTTTTTTTTTTTTTTTTTTTAATTAATTAGCCCCTTGGCGTCGCTTTGGGATTGAACCCCTCAGTGGCATCTTACCACTGAGGTACCTCCCTATCCCCGCTACATTCCCCACCCCCTAACTTTTTTTTTCCTTCTTCGGGCTGGCCTCGAAATTGCAGTCCTCCAGCCTCAGCCTACCTAGTAGCTGGCATTACAGGAAAACACCCCTGCACCCAGCTGGAATAAAGTATTCTTCAAACTGAACTTTCTAAAGAATTACTTCATATTAATCTGACTTTCCCAATTTTTAAAATATAAAGCCGAGCTTAAAGTCGTGGCATCTGAGGAGATAAAATGTTCTACTATAATTCACATGCAAACAATAGATAAGGTCAATGTAGTTAATTGTAGTGGTGAAAATCAAGTGTTGGTGATTGCTTAAGAGTGCTGAGCTTGGTGGCTCATGCCTGTAATCCTAGCGGTTCCGGAGGCTGAGGCAGGAGAATCACAAGTTCAAAACCAACCTAAGCAATTTAGCAAGACCCTGTTTCAAAATAAAAAATAAAAGGGGCTGGGAATGTGGTTTAGTGGTTAGGCACCCATGGATTCAATCCTTGGCACCAAAAAAAAAAAAAAAGTTTCGGTGGTGCAAGCCTGTTAACCTTTGCAGCTCAGGAGTCTGAGGCAAGAGGATTGCAAATCTGAGGCCAGCCTCAGCAAATTAGCCAAGACCTAAGCAACTTAGACCCTGTCTCAAAAAGGGTGTGTGTTTGTGTAGCTTAGTGATAAAGATCTGGGTTCAAGAATCAATCCTAGTTTAAAAGAAAGTTGGTGATAGTAGCTTGTTTTGTTCCAACAATTGGTATATTTTGTATTAGGCTTTTAGTTGTTGATTTGGTGCTTAAAACTCCTCAGAGGTTGTCTCTAAGCCTTGTTACTTTTCAGAACACAAGCTGCTGAGTACTGGCCCCACAGAGCCATGGTCCATCCGGGAGAAGCTGTGTTTAGCATCTTCAGTCATGAGGAGTGGAGATCAAAATTGGTAAGATATCTAGGATGTCTCCGTTCTTGGGTCTTAAGAAACTTGTCCCCCCTCACACACACACACTTTGGTGGATTCTTACAGTAATATCAAGCTTTAAATAGTATTTTTTTCCAAACAGTTTTACTAAAATATATCATAAAATTAACCCACTTAAAATGTAGAACTCAATCGTTTTTTAGTATATTCACAGAGTTGTGCATCCATCACCACAGTCTAATTTTGAACATTTTCCTTATCCCTACAATAAATCCATTACTCCTTAGCTGTCACTGCATTCTCTCTTCTCCTCTCCCAAGCAACTACTTATCTACTTACTTTTTCTACAGATTTCATTTCATATAGAAGGAATCATATAACATGTGGTCTTCTGGCACTGATTTCTTTTCTTTCTTTCTTTTTTTTTTTTTTTTTTGAGATTAAAAAAGGTTTATTACTTAGAAAAAAGGTTTATTTTTTCTTCTTGTCCCAGAAGCTGGATTCTGCCCATCAGCAGGAATAGGCTTTTAAAGAGGTGATTCAAAGGCTACATTCCTCATGTTCTCTGTTTCAGTTGTAATTCACTTGTTAATTTGGGGGATATTTATTTCTGAGGTCTTTTGGTACCATCCCCAAAGTCTCATTACTTTGTTCCTATGGTGGGTTTGTACTCAAGGACAGATAACTCTGCCTAGGAAGGGGTAGAAAGGTAATCCTGTTTCCCCAGAAATTAGGGAGGAGCAGGGAGAGAAAGAAAGAAACATGTCCACTTAAAAAATAAGTTACAGTGGCAGAGCAACAAGAGCTATATTCAAAGCATAAAGTAGACACTGTTACATTTCCCCACTGTCAATTTCTACATTCCATTTCTATGGAAAGATGGGTGATGACATCTCCAAAACTGTTTCCTGCTGCAAGGGGGTGAAATTGGGGGAAGTAACCCAAAACCCTTGTTCTCTATTAGGTGGGGTGTGGACAGTTAAGGGGTTTCAGTATCAGAGTAGTCCAGAGGTCCACAGTTGGCAGGTGGCAGGTGACTGGACAAGGTGTACACAGGCAGGGATCATGAAAATGGTCAAAGTTGTCCGACTTTCCTGAGTTCAATTTCCTTTTTCTCAAAGTGGACCAGGATGGAACAACCTTTATTGTTTGGGGAGAGAAGGCAGGAGTTCCATGAAGCAAAAGGAGTTTAGGCAGCTGTTGGGAAGCTCCTTTCTTCGGTCCCTTTACTCACAGGAGTATCCCCCTTGTTCAACCCTAGGCAAACTCACCCATCTGGTAACTCTCCTGCAGTTGGCTCTCAACAAGTTTGCCAGTCACCTTGCCGACTAAGCATGGAAATGAGGTTCGTTGGAGAACCAAGCCTGCCCAAGAAAGCTGGAGCAGGGGCTTCTTTGGGGTTCCTGGGATGCCAAATTTGTTACTGAAAGCTTGGTCCTTGTCTCCAGTGCCAATCCAATAAGGACATGGTTTTGAGAAAAAGGGAAAAGAAGGTTTATTGCTTTTCTAGCTAAGGAGATTACACAAGACTCCTGTCCCAGAGGCTGTGATTCTTGGCACTGGCTACTTAATCAGTCAACAGTACTTTTTCAGGGTTCACCAACGTGTACTATGTATTAATGCTTCATTCTCTCTCTTTCTCTCTCTCTTTTTTTTTTAGAGAGAATTTTTAATATTTATTTTTTTAGTTTTCGGCGGACACAACATCTTTGTTTGTATGTGGTGCTGAGGATCGAACCCAGGTGCTCGCATGCCAGGCAAGCGCGCTACCACTTGAGCCACATCCCCAGCCCGCTGCTTCATTCTCTTTTAAGGCCAATAACAGTATGAATATATTATCACCCCTTTGTATCCATTGGAGATTGGTTCTAGGACTCACAGATACTTTAAAATTATCTCTAAATTACTTGTTATCAAATATGATATAAATAGTTGTTGTATTGTATTGTTTAGGGAATGATGACAAGAAAAATAGTCTGTACATGTTCAGTACAGATGCAGTCTTTTGTTGTTTTTTTTTCTCCCCAAGTATATAATTTTCAACCCATGGCTGATTGAATCCAAGAATGCAGACCCTGGATATAGAGAGTTGGCTTCTTATTCAACACTTTAGGATCATTTGGATGGTTCCTCCAATTTAGGGCTAATATGAGTAATGCTGTTATAAACATTTGTGTACAAAGTTTTATGTGAACAGTATTTCAATTCTCAAGTTTTCTACCCCAGTAGTGGAATCTCTGCATCATATGGTAATTATATGTTTAACTTTGAAGAGCTGCCAAACTTGTTCTTTTCTCCTGTTCAGTGTTTTTCTCCAATATGAGGGATTGAACCCAGGGCTTCAATCATGCTAGGTGAGTGCTGTACCACTGAGCTACATCCCCAGCCCTTTGAAAATTTTTATTTTAAGACAGAGTCTGACTAAGTTGCTTAGGCTGGCCTGGAACTTGTGATCTTCTTGCTTTAGCCTCCAGAGTAACTAGAACTGTAGGTAGCCACCTACAGTGCATACACCTGTAGGTGTATGCCACCATGCTGAACTGAATACGAATTCTATTAAAGTTCCTGGCAAGAAAAAAAAAAAATGACACAAACTGAACAAGTAGAATTTTTATCAAAACTAAGCATGAAAGCTGGGCATGGTCTACATAACTATGATCCCAGCAACTTGATAAACAGGAGGATTGCAAGTTCAAGGCCAGCATTGGCAACTTAGTGATACTTTGGCTCAAAATTTAAAAAAAAATAAGAAAAGCCTGAGGATGTAGTTGAATGGCAGAGTGCCCCTGAGATAAGAAAAAAGATAGCAAAACATGATTGTGCTAATTTTAACCAAAAGCTGAACTCTGTGGTCAGTAAAATCCAATTATATGGAATAACTATGGTGTATGTACTCCCCTTTATGCCTCTTGATTGACAGACTTAAGTCAAACAGACAGACTTCATTTGTTCTGTTTTCAATTTGGACTTTCA